TTACTACTACTTTTTTTTAATGTATTTGGTACAGGGTTTCATTACTCAGCTCAGACTCCTAGTGATGCTCCTGTCTTCAGCCTCCCCAGAATTGGGATTACAGGCTGTGCCACCATGCCCAGTCTTGGTGACCAGCTCAGCACACCTGGGAGCAAGACTAGAGCAGCAAGTGGTGCTGGGGGAAACAAACCCCCATCCCTGCACTTGCCTAAGCAGGCACTTAGTCCGCTGAGCTATCTTTCTGGCCCTACCTTTTGCTTCTTTTAAGTTGTTCATTTTTGTTCTTAGTTGTAGCCATAGGAAGCTAGCATGCCAATATTTATAATCCAGAAAATAATTTATTGTTATTAAGTAAACATGAGGATTGATTTTTCTTTAATTTCACCAAGGGATTTTGTGAAAACATGTATTCAAAGTTACACATGAAACAACTAAAGGGCTCCAAAGTCAATCATTTTGACTCTAATAGTTCCTTGTTTTACTATATTGAGCTCTGAATATCTAGTTAATTAGAAATATTATGTAGATTAAGTGAGAATTCATCTGGAAAAAAAAGTCTAGGGTAGGTATGTAATTTATTTTATTGAGTACTTCTCTGGGTCCAGCACTGTGCTGAGATAGGTACTGTTACTTCCAATTCAAAGATGAGGACATTGAGAATCTTCAAGGTTGAGTTATGCAAAAATATGTACCTTTGTTGTAATTTTGAACCTAAATTTTGCTGATTCTTTTCCCTATGTCCTTGTCTCTCAATTAATATGTAGGTGGACATTCTTTTTTTTCTCTAATGTATTTGTTTAAAACTTGAGTGGAGGAGGCTTAAATATCAGTCACCAAGTTATAAAATGACATTTCGCCTTATTTTAAGTGTCACATTCATTAGTTACATTTGCAAACTTCACTCTAGGTTCTTTGTGGTTTTCCTTAGTCTCTTTATCCTTTTTTAAAAAATTTTGTTTATTGATACAGTGTCTTGCTATGCAGTTTGGGTTCATAGTGATCCTCTTTCTCAGCCTCTCCAGCACTGGGATCACAGTTACATGCCACCACAGGCAGGTTTGGAGGCAGCACAGCATTTGGTACCAAGGATCGAACTCGGGCAATACCAGGGATCAAACTCAGGTCCTTGTGCTTGCCAGGCAGGAGCTTAGACAGCCAAACTACCTCCCCAGCCCCATGTCTCTTTATCCTTAATCTCAAAAATTGGCCAGAAACATATGAAATTAAATATTGTAGGAAATTCTTCAACCAACAAAACCTCCATCAATATTTAATGGCATAAAAATGAAACAGTATAGGGGCCCTGAGAAAAAGCTACATGAAAACCAGAGAATCTTAAGTATTTGGTGATGACATGAAGAGTGTCTCTACAGGAAGAGCCCCCTGATTTTATTTGGAAATAAAGAATCTTGCTAGAAACAGACACATTACTAACCAGTTGAGAGACTGTGTAAATAATGTAGAGAAGTATTATAATCCTCTCAGTGATTAGTCTAAGAATTACAACTTAGGATAGCTGTTAATTTCACTATGATCTTACCTACAAAGAGAGGTTATCAAAAATTAGTATGAGTACACACAGCTCTGTCCCCTCTTAATACATAGGGTTGTTTTAAGCAGAGTCCAACACGTTAGTTTCTGACTGACAGCCGGTCCTTATTAATCCAGTAGGATTGCCTATTGGATCTGGACAGAGGTAAAGGCAAAGATCTAGTGTTGTGCATTCATTTATTCTTTCATTCACTTATTCAATGAATGGACAACATTTTAATGGGTTATGTATATGATAATGTAAACATTGGGGGAAAAAAGAGAAGAGTTGGCCTCTGCTTTCTGATCTAGAACAGGGACTTTCACGTCACATCAAAGATAATCAAAGTCATCCAAATCAATACCTTCCTTCCCCAAAAGATATTTCCAGCAGCACTGCTCAACATGAAATATAAAATGGAAATTCTATAGAACAGTATATTGGCTCTGTTAGTTCAAAATAAGACAATTTGAGAGAAAAGACTAAATTTATAGATATGCAAAAAGCAAAGAAGTTTGATTTTTTTTACTGTCTCTCTCTCTCTCTCTCTCTCTCTCTCTCTCT